AAAAAGTCAAAATGTGGCTGGGCGTGATGGTTCACACCTATAATCCTAGCACTATGGGAGGCTGAGTTGGGGAGATTGCTTAAGCTCACAAGTTCAGGACCAGCCTGAGCAACAGGGAGACTTCATCTCTAAAAAACAGCCAAGCATCGTGGCAAGCATCTGTTGTCCCAGCTATTCGGGAGGTAGAGGAAAGAGGACTGCTTGAGCTCAAGAGTCTGAAGTTACTGGGTGACAAAGTGAGACTCAAAAAAAGAAAAGAAAAAAGGTCTAATGTAGGGGAAATAAAAAAGGAAAACCAGGGGCAGCGCTTGTGGCTCAGCTGGTAGGGCGCTGGCCCCATATACCGAGGGTGGTGGGTTCAAAACCAGTCCCAGCCAAACTGCAACAACAACAAAAAAAAACAGCTGGGCGTTGTGGCAGGCGCCTTTAGTCCCAGCTACTTGGGAGGCTGAGGCAAGAGAATCCCCTAAGCTCAGGAGTTGGAGGTTGTTGTGAGCTATGTGACACAATGGCACTCTACAGAGGGCAATAAAGTGAGACTCTGTCTCTTAAAAAAAAAGGAAAACTAAACCCATTGTTTCTGCTTTCAACATCCTACTGAAGTTATAAAGCCCCACTGGATAAAGACTTTTTATTTTTTTAACTCTTCATGGCACTGAATAGATTCATTCACTGAGGAAATATTTTCTGAGCACCTACTATTGCCAGGTACAATTCCAGATATTGAGCATAAAGGGGGAAACAAAGTCCCTGCCCTCTGCAGCTGACATTCCAGTTGGAGAGATGAACAATAAGAAAGAAACACATAAAATAATGTCAGTAAGTAGTACCAATATTATAAAGAAAAATAAAGCAGTATTAGGGGCCAGCAAGTGGAGGAAGAGCTTAATTTTACATAGGATAGTGTGAGGGGATAACAGCTGGCAAAGACCTAATGACATTTCCTTATGTGGTTACATAAGCACACATTCATCTATACCCCAAAATCATTTTGCATGCTGGTTCCCTAGCTTGCTAGAGTGACTCTGGGAATGAAGAAGATGCTGCTCCAAGAAATCAATCTTCATAGTTCATACAGTTTTAGTTCTGCCAACTCATAATGTCCCAACATCCCAAATGAAGTCTACATAAGGGATCCACACGTCTCAAGGATGTCTCCCTCAAACTGGGAATTGATACATTAACAATTTCAGGTCTTTGGCTTCAACTGTGCAGCAGATTACCAAAGGCACACTACCAACTCTCAGCACACCTTAGGGAGCTCCCTCCTTGCCAGATCCTCTGGTGACTGTGCCTGTGGAACATACTGGAAAGCTTAGAGGGAAAGGAGACTGGAATCTGCAAAAGGGTCCTCTACTCACTACTGAGAAGTGTTGCAGAGCCAGGGGAAATGGAGCTGACTCTGTTGCTGTAAGTTTCTGGCAATCTCTCCATTACTTTCTTTGGACCTGCTTCTAGCAACAGGATTTTCTTATCACGAAAGTGAATATCATGTCCTAAAAAAAAAAAAAGAAAAAAAGCAGTATTTGGTATCACTTTAGGAAGATCAAGAATTTATTCCCTTCCCATTACCAAGAGAAACAACAAGAAAAAGCTGCCATTAGCACAGTGCCCAGAAAACATTTGGGAAGGTGTCTCTCCCTCTTAGCCCAGGTACTCGGGGGTTATGTTAATTAAATAAATCTAACTATGGAAATGACCTGATCCCTGTGATGGGCACAGCACTCAGCTCCAAGTTGACAAAGTGAGACTCAAAAAAAAAAAAAAAGAAAAGAAAAGAAAAAAGGTCTAATGTAGGGGAAATAAAAAAGGAAAACTAAACCCATATTGTTTTTTGCTTTCAATATCCTACTGAAACTTAAAATACAAATTTCTTACAGGATACATAAAGTAAATACTCCTCATGCAGAGTCTTAAGCAATAATATATAACCACCATTTCAGCCATGAGAACCACCCTACCCACAATTTGCAGGCAGGCTTCTCAAGACAATGTCCACCACTATGTGCCATATGCAAAGAAGCAAATAACTGCAAAACTCACAACTACCAAATAGAATAGTATTGTAGTATTTAAAAACCAGTTATTTCCAATGAGTTATTAAGTCACTAAAACTTATAATTTCTACTCAACAGAAAACTGGAATAAATAAGCAAAACTCATAGCAGTCTCAAAATTAAATCCAGAATAAAGAATGAAAGAATTTATAGAAGGGGACCAAAAATACATCAAGTGTACCTACAAATCTGACCCCAAAACATCTATGGAGAGAAGGAAAAATGGGCCTTGCACACTGTTACTGAGCAACTATGCAGCACACAGAGTCCTTCCACAGTGTCAGGAGAAAGATAAGGAAAAAGGGTGTGAGGTGCAGTTGCCAAGAAAGGAGAAAAACAATGTGATGTGATTACCAGAGAGAAGAAACACTGGAGGTTTTGCTTAGTAATGATGGGAAAAAACCCACAAACCTTAATCTGCTTTTTAAAAAATATTTAGAATCTAAATGGGAAGAGAGGCACAGTTACAACTTAAAAAGCATAAGGTGTGAAAATCAAAGTCAGCTCTAATGAACAGACAGTGAGTGCCTACAAGATTGGCATGGTGCTTCCTGTTGTGCTACAGCACCACAGCTGTGGAGGATGGAGCATGGGGCTATGCTCTGCAGAGGGGACTGTTTTCTAGTCCTACATCCCTCTACCCTTGATCTAAGGGCAGCTGCACCTTAGAGTCCTACCCACTTAAACATCCCCTATCCAGGCATGTTCTTTCCACCAGGCCTAAGCATCTCCTTCCCAGGACAGATCAGTTGCTTGTTCTTGTAAGAGAGCTTTCTTTACATTCTTCCATTAGTTATTTACAAATCTTTTCCCTTGCTAGATTCTAAATTCCTTGAGAGCAGGAACAACTATTTCTTTCCAGGTGGCTAGTATCACTAGGTACAAATGCTGCTATTTTCTTAATCCATAATGTAGATGTTCAAAGTCTATTAGATGAGAGAAAGGGAAATGAACCAGAAAAGAACTAGATTTCCAAACACAGTATAAAATATACTCAGCCAGGCTCAATATTTTATTTTTTAGCTATTTAATGCAGCATTTTAGCAAATTCATTTGGAGAAAAAAATGCCAGACAATAAATAATTACAAATAACCTGAGAGGGAAATATAGATGTTTCAATCTTAAAACAAAACTAATGTAAACCTGAAGAGGAAAAAAATCAGCCAGGCATGGTGACTCAAGCCAGTAATCTAAGACTCCAGAAGGCCACGGTGGAAGGATCCCTTGAGCTCAGGAGTTCAAAACCAGCCCTGAGAAAAAGGCAAGACCTTGCCTCTACTGATAATAGAAAAAACTAGCTGGGCCCACTAGTTTGGTGGGTGCCTGTATTCCCAGCTTCTGAGGAGACTGAGGCAGGAGGATCCCCTGAACCCAGGAGTTTGAGTTTACTGTGAGCTATGCTGATGCCATGGCACTCTAGCCTGGGCAACAGAGACTGTCTCAAATAAGTAAATAAAAATAGGCTCGGCACCTGTAGCTCAGCAGCTAGGGGCTGGTGGGCTGGAACCTGGTCTGGGCCTGCCAAACTACAATGACAACAACAACAACAAAATAGCCAGGAGTTGTTGGCAGGTGCCTGTAGTCCCAGCTACTTGGGAGGCTGAGGCAAGAGAATCGCTTAAGCCCAAGAGTCGAGGTTGCTATTAGCTGTGATACCACAGCACTCTACCTAGGATGATATAGTGAGACTCTGTCTCAAAATAAATAAATAAATAAATAAAAATAAAAGGTTTGGTAATTATTCAAAACGTTAAACACAGTTACCATTCCACTGTTGGGAAAAGATCAACATAACCAAAAACTTAAGTCCACACAAAGACTTGTATACGAAATGTTCACTGTAGCAGTATTCCTAACAGGCAAAAGTGGAAACAACCTAAATGTCCATCAACTATAAAGTAATAAACAAAATGTGATATATAGATACAATGGAATCACACTTATTCAGCCATCAAAAGGAATGAAACTGATTCAGGCTACAACACAAATGAATCTTGAAAACATTAAGTAGATTCTATTTATAGAACTATCCAGAAAAGGCAAATCTATAGAGACAGAAAGCGGACAAGTTGTTTCCTTGAAGTGAGGAGATGTGGAGAGGAATGACTGTTAATGGGTTCCCAGTTTCTTTTTAGGGTGATGAAAATATTCTAAAATTTATTGTAATGAAAGCTGCACGACTCTGAATTTACTAAAATACATTAAACCGTACACTTTACCTGGGTAAACTTTATGGTATGTAAATTGTACTTCAATAAAGCTGTTTAGCACTGGGCGGGCCTATTTCCCCACATGAAGGATGGACTTATAAGGCCCCTCCCACTTTTGACCCTAGTGGACCCTGAAGGACCAAACACTGGCCCGGGGTTCCTCTAAGAGGGCAGGGGATAGACCAAGGCCCGCGAAGCACAGTCGCTGGGCGAACAGTGTATGACCTCCCATGGCTTTCTCCGCTCTTCCGCAGCCCAGTTCCCCGCCCCGACTGGCCTGGAGATGAGCTTACCCAAAGCACAGGCCATGGCAGCGCCCACCAGGCCTCCACCCGACACCACCACATCGTACACGGTGTCCGCTAAGGTACTGGAACACCTCCACCAAGACACCAGCGGGCCTCTGTGGACGGCTGCGGGTGCAGCCCCCCACCGGCAGACAGAAAGGCGGGCCGCCATGGTGCTGCCTTGCGCAGCTGCACTCGGAGCCCCGCCAGGCCCGTCCCCGGCAGTGCTTCCGGCGCAGAGCCCTCCAATCCTGTGGGCTTCAGCCACGTCCTCAGAACCGGAAATAAAACGCACGAAGGCTCTAGGCCAATCAGAAAACAACCCTTGGAAGCTGCCCTGGAAGCTAATCCAAGGGTACAGCTAGAAAGGGGTGGGACCTGACAGGGCGTAGAGAGCTCTGTCACCGCCGCGGTCTTGGCCGCTTCTGCCGGTCTGGCTCAGAAAATGACTGTGGGGAGGCCTGCGGGAGGCCCTGGCGGCGCGGAGTGGAGCCGTCAGGTGAGGAAAGAGAAGGGAGGAAGCAGGACTGTGCTCCAGAAAGGAATCCCTGAGAGAGGACAACTGTTGACGTTGCCTTGGAGACAGACAGTAGGGGCGTGTCACGGAGGGGCCTTGGGATAGTGTCTAGGAACCGGGAGGTGGACTCCGACTTGGGGTTCTGAACCACTTGAACTTTATACAGGCTCTTCATAGGACCATAGCAGTGTCACTCCGTTTTCGTTTGTCTCTCAACTAATTCTATGACCGGTACTACAAACTGTCATATTTTGTAGAAAATTGAGGGACAGAGACATTAAGAAATTTTCCCTCAAATCCGTAGAGACAGAAAGTATATTGGTAGTTGCCTAACGCTGGCGGGATGGGGGACGGGGATATGCTGTGAGAGGGTTAGGGAAAATGGGGAGTGACTGCTGAGAAGTGTTGATTTCTTTTTGGTGAGATGAAAGTGTTCTAAAATGGTGATGATAGTTGCACAACACTGAGAATATACTAAAAACCATTGAATTGTATACTTCAAACGAAAGAGCGTATGGCATGGAACTTATATCTCAATAAAAAAAAATTTTATTTTAAGAAAGAAAATTGGCCGAGAACACATGGTGTTCGGCAGCAGAGCCCTGGCTGGAACACATATATGGCCTTGACTCAGAATCCAGTGTTCTTTCCTCTATTACAGCTGGACCTTAGAGAACAAGTAAAATCAATTTCTTTATTATTATTATTTTTTTTTTTGAGACAGAGACTCACTGTGTCACCCTTGGTAGAGTGCTGTGGCATCACAGCTCACAGCAACCTCAAACTCTTGGGCTTAAGTGATTCTCTTGCCTCAGTCTCCCCAGTAGCTGGGACTACAGGCACCGACCACAGCACCTGGCTGTTTTTTGGTTGCAGTTGTCATTGTTGTTTACACGAGCCTCAGTGTATGTGGCCGGCACCCTACCCACTGAGCTACAGGCACCACTGTAAAAGCCATTTCTAAGTGTCACCTAAGAGGACTGCAGTGGCCTGTGCTCAATTGGTTTCCCTTCTGAAACTACTCATCCTCTATGGTCCCAACCTGGCCCCACGCCTGTGTCTCTAAGAGCAACTCATATCACTGTCCTGCAGCCATACTGGCTCTCTTTCTACCTCTTCAAGGTTCATGTTTGTAACTGCCCTGGATGCTACCTCAAGACCTTTGCATTTGCTGTTCCTTGAACCCAGAACACTCTTACTCCACAGTTTAGCAAGGCTGATTCCTCATAAATCAGGGGTCAATCCAAAATTCATCCACAATGAAAAAATAAAAATCAGTCCAGGATTGACAAAATATAACTCAGAATGTAATAAACACAGATAAGGCCAATAGATCAGCACAAAACAGTGTTTCAGGGCCACACCATAGCTGCAAAATTACCCACACCCCTTCTTATCAATTACTTACCTTGTACACTTTGTCCTTCTCATCTTTTGAATAAAAACTAAATTGCACCCACTTCGTGACAGTACTCATCCAGAGTTGATCCTTCCTTTGCCTAACTCTCCTCAGAATCAATCAGAACAAGCCAACCCTAGAAAAATCATCCCCCACACTAAGTTCTCAGTGGTTTTTCATGGTGTATTGTAGCAAATTAATAAACCTAACTCTTGATTATAGGTACATTCCTGGTGACCTTTATCTGACAGACTTTATCAACATAAAAGCTTTCTATAGGCATTATATCAATCTATAACCTCGTAGTTTATAGTTTTTGGTAAATTTAGAATCGACTTCTCTCATCAGAATCTAAGTGTCATGAGAGTAGGGACCTTGTTTGTCTGTTCTCAGCCAAATGCTCTATGCACATTAGGCACCAAAGAAATATTTTTTGGATAACTCTATAAAGTATTTATCTATTTATTCTGAGACACATTCTCCATCATATTGCCTAGGCTACAGTACTATGCATCAGCCTAGCTCACAGCAACCTCAAACTCCTGGGCTCAAGCAGTCCTCCTTGAACCCTCAGTCTCAAGCAGTAGCCAGACTACAGGCACCCACCACAATACCTGGCTAATTTTTCTATTTTTATTTTTATTTATTTATTTGTTTATTTAGAGACAGAATCTCACTATGTCACCCTCAGTAGAGTGCTCTGGCATCATAGCTCACAGCAACCTCAAACTCTTGGGCTTAAACGATTCTCTTGCCTTAGCCTCCCAAGTAGCTAGGACTACAGGTGCCCACCACAATATCTGGCTATTTTTTGTTACAGTTGTCGCTGTTATTCAGCTGGCCCGGTCCGGGCTCGTACCCACCAGCCACAGTGTATGTGTCTAGCACTGTAACCACTGTGCTACGGGCACCAAGCCAATTTTTCTATTTTTAGTAGAGACAGGGTCTTGCTCTCACTCAGGTTGGTCTTAAACTCATAAGTTTATCCTCCTGCTTCAGCCTGCCAGAGTGCTAGGATTACAGGCATGAGCCACTAGGCCTAGCCTAGATGGAGTATTTAAAAAGCTTGCTAGCTAGGTGTGATGGTTCATGCCTTAATCCCAGCACTTTGGGAGGCCACAGTGGGAGGATCGCTTGAGGCCTAGAGTTTAAGACTAGCCTGTGCAACATAGCAGAACCTCATCTCTACAAAAAATTTTAAAAAATAAATAGGCTGGGCATGGTGGCTCGCACCAGCACATAGGAGGCCGAGGCAGATGGACTGCCTGAGTCCATGAGTTTGAGACCAGTCTGAGCAAAAGCAAGACCCCCATCTCTAAAAAAGAGCCAGGCGGTTGTGGTGGGCGCCTGTAGTCCCAGCTACTCGGGAGGCTGAGGCAAGAGAATCGCCTAAGCCCAGGAATTGGAGGTTGCTGTGAGCTGAGTGATGCCACGGCACTCTACCAAGGGCAACAAAATGAGACTCTGTTTCAAAAAATAAATAAATAATCTAAGTAAATAGCTGGGTATCCCAATAATCTAAGTAAATAAATAGCTGGGTGTCCCACTTTCTAGGATACTTTTCAGCTAAACCATATTGGCTGTCCTGTGAATCATTCCAGGTGGCGCCTGTGGCTCAGTGGGTAGGGCACTGGCCCCATATACTGAGGGTGGCAGGTTCAAACCTAGCACCAGCCAAACTGCAATTTAAAAAAAAA